GCTGTCCTGGCTGCCATCTGGCGATCTGGGACTGTTCCCCTGACCTGTTGAGGGGTGTGCTCAACCCTCTCTGGAAGGGGAAGGGGGCCGATGGGACTGTAGCAATCACCACGGCATCACACTGCTCACTTTACCAGGCAAGGTTCTTGCCCACATCCTTCTGAGGCGTATTAGAGACCATCTACTGAGGCATCAAAGGCCGGAGCAATCTGGATTCACTCCTGGTAAGTCCACAATAGACTGTATCCTTGCGCTTTGAGTCATTGTAGAACGCCGTGGTGAGTTTGGACGTGGGCTGCTTGCAGCCTACATCGATCTCAAGAAGGCGTTTGATACAGTGCATCGGGAATCACTCTGGGAGATCCTGAGACAGAGGAATTCCAACAAGGATTATTGAACTAATAGCAAACCTGTATACTGGTACTGAAAGTGCTGTAAAATGTGGTGGGGGCCTGTCGAGCTTCTTTCCTGTCAGTTCAGGAGTGAGGCAAGGCTGTGTTCTTGCACCAACACTTTTCAGTACTTGCATGGGCTGGATACTAGGCAGAGCTACTGTTCAAAGTCATTGTGGAACAACACTGGGCAATGTTACGGTTACAGACCTTGACTTTGCCGATGATGTTGCTATTCTATCTGAGTGGAAACCCTAGTGGTGGCTCTGGATGCATTTAGTAATGAAGCGAAGCCCTTGGGTCTAGAAGTCTCCTGGACCAAGACCAAGATCTCGGACTTTGGGGACTTGCTAGAACCTGTTCAGTCGGTACGTGCTTGCGGCGAGGTCATTGAAGTCACAGAGAGCTTTATGTACCTTGATAGTGCAGTTCATAACTCTGGTCTGTCAGACCAGGAAGTCAGCAGACGGATTGGCCTGGCAGCAGGGATCATGAACTCTCTCGACAAGAGTATTTGGAGAGGCCGGTACCTATGCAGGACCAAGCTATGGGTTTTCAGGGCCCTGATAATGCCAGTTTTGCTCTACGATAGTGAAACCTGGACTTTATCCAGTGCCCTGGAGTCCCGTCTTGATGCCTTTTGTAATATGACCTTGCGCCGGATCATGGGATACTTTTGTCAGGACCATGTATCTAACCAACGGTTGCACTGTGAGACTGGCACAGGACCTGTTACCTGCACAATCCGTGATCGCCAACTCAGGCAATATGGCCACCTGGCTTGCTTTCCACTGGCCGATCCTGCTCATCAGGTTGTCTCTGTAAGAGACAATCCTGGGTGGAGGAGGCCTGTGGGACGACCTAGGAGGTCGTGCCTTGGGCAGATCGATCAAACCTGTCGGGAGGAGCTCGAGATGGGCCGAGTCCCTGCCTGGCGGTTTGCCATGAGGGATCCCAAAAAGTGGAAGCAAAAGGTGGACGTGGCTATGCGCCCCCGTCGGCGTTAGCTCCCAATGATGATGATAATGATATATATAATATATATATATATATACATATACAAATATATATATATATATGGATATAATATACATATCTATCTATATATCTATCTATCTATCTATCTATCTATCTATCTATCTATATGTATACACACACACACACACACACACACACATATATATATATATATATATATATATATATATATATATATATATATATATATGTATACATGTGTATCTATCTATCTATCTATATATATGTAAGTGTGTATGTGCGTGTATGTCTGTGAAAAAAAAAAAAACAATGCACAAACTAGATGTATTAAAATCAGTGAGAAACAGAATCCTCATGGAATTCATCTTCAGGTCTAAAGGGGAAGGGGCGAGGAGTGTATACGATAGAAAAAAGAGACAACTCGGTGAACACGGGGTAGTCGAGGACTGATTAAGGAAGATTCCACCAGGCTGAAAGCATGGACATCAGGGGAAGGGAAAACAATTCGCACTGCTGAACAATCTATCTGATGGCCTGTGTCCCACTGATGGCTGAAGAGGGCGTTGTTGTGTCCCCTGGATATAGCGTATTTATGGTGACATAGACGCTTAGGGCGTCTTCTATACGTGCCATAAGAGTTAATCCAGTATTAAAGTTTAATCCAGATCTCTAGTGCGCATGAGCATTGGCAGCATCCAGGATTAACTTTTATTACACCTCTGGACCAGGCATTAATATTAAGCTCATTTTAAAATCCTACACATGCGCATAAGGAACAAGTTAATCACACCAATCATGTACTATTACGTCACGAGTCCGTCATGAACTTTACAGGTGCCATTGCTTGAGCCATTCAGTTTTTTTCGCCAATAACACCGATCGTCTTAGGATTTTCATATTAAATATTTATTCTGAAAATGAAATTGTATATATTCACACAACTAATCAAATATTATGATAAAGGAAATAACGTATGATAATAAAAAAAAAAAAAAAAATCCCACAAGGAATCTTTGAAGTTCAGAGGCTGCGGGCAAAATATATATGGTCAACGTCACACAAGTTGACGTTTTAAATCAAATATGAACCAGTGTTTCAAAAAATAATTATGTGCCGAGTTTTTCTCAACTACTTTACTACAAAATTAGCAAGTATACTTTCCTATGGACCTCGTGAACAGCCTGGAAAAAAAAACAGGTTTCCCTTGTCCAACAGTTTCAACGCAGCAAAGAGCTGTCCAAGGAAACTGCACGATGGATAATAATTGGTTAATGTCATTTTTGTACTTGAGTGCCATTGGAAAAAATATAGGTTTTATAGTTGTTAGAGCAGTTTGTTACCCATTTTACTACTGCAAATATAAGATCGTCATCATGAAAAAATAGAATATTTCATAAATAATCACGTTACCCTCATAAGTTGGCCTACTTTTGCCTCCTAATTATCATACGAAGACCAAACTGCATCTTGAGTGACTGACTACAACTTCTATAACAATCACCTTTTCTCCCATCTTTGAGAAATAAATATCAATTGTCAGAAAAATCTTTTAACAATGCAGTATCTGAATGCAAATTGCAAGGTTCATTTATCAAAGTAAATTTTATACAGGACTACAAATCTTTAGGTAATATCTTTAATACTGTCTTCTATATCATCTATGTAGGGACATGAAGGGTGTGTTGAATAGATATCTTTTGGATGATTTTGTTGCTTATTTACAGGTATGAGTGCATGGCTTGCTCCAAACGCTACCCTACACAAGCACCAGTTATATATGGAGAGCAACATTGCGCACAAATGTTTCAAAGTACCACAGATTTTTTTCAGCAGTAAAAAGACAAGACATACCTCAGCTCCCACCCTTTAGATTTGTAAAACCTATTCCACACGCCCAGAAATCCGAGACCAGGACCTTCACATCCACAGCAGAGGGCAGAACCATCACTAAATTACAGACCAGGAACATCACAAGAATTGATAGAATTTTTTTAAGACAGTCCATTAACACAAGATTCCGATCAAATCATATTTGAAACAGATAATCCTGAAGAAATGTGTACAAAAAAATAGAGGTACGAAATTTCTTACTTCAATATGATGCTAGTCTTAATTTTCAATTTTGAGAACATTAGGAGGCATAAAGGATTGATCAATAATATGAATATGTTTTTAATGCCTTGTCTTCAATCATGTAGGTACATCTAGGATGAAGATAAGGAAAAGGTGGTCTTCAGAAGCAACTGAGTTTACATTCTTATTTACAGAACACTTTAAACAATTAGGGGGCAAAGTAATGCAGAGATTAAAAAAAAAAAAAAAAAATGTCAGAAGATAACTAACATTATGGCAACATTAGTAAGACACTCGGTTTCATGAAATACACATTAATAATAATAGATTTTGAAACCTTAGGGATGTCTGCAATAGGTTCTTAAATATAATTACCAACACCATGCCATTACGAAAAGAAAGAAAGAGAAAAAACATGAAATCTCCCGAAAGAGCGAATTTCACGCGCGACATTTCTCTTCTCTCCTATATGTTTACATGATAACGGTGGTGATAGAATAATGGGTACCACAGTTTTTACTGAACATTATTGTCGCGCCGTCTGGCAGCGGAAATTGTCGTCTTCGGTACGGACACGGTGGATTTGGATTAAACTATATACAGTATTAAGAGTTAAGGACGCTACAGAAGACGCCCTTAGTGAGACTGGCGCCTGTCTCGCCAAAATAGTGCTTAGGCACAAGGAACAGCATAGGTGCCCATCTCCGAGGTCAAGGGAGGGAAGGTGTGGACCGTGTTGCAACAGAGTTTTTATCTGGCGAAAGGCAAGCCTACAGCTGAGAGGGTAAAGAGGGCAGCAGAGAGAGGAGAGCTCAGTGTAAGGCAGGCAGAGGACGGGCAAGTGAGGGAGTCACGCCCTGGATAATGCGACATCGAAAACATGGTGAGGGATGCCCAGTTTGGAGAACACACGACATATGAAATCGATCTTTCCAACCAGGTACTGGTAGACAGGGCACTTTCTGTAAGTATTTAATGACGGGGTTTATGAAAGATCCCTTGATTGGTTTGCAGAATCCAATGAGCCCAGGGCACCTTTTGTATTTTTATCACTGATTAAATTAAACAATATCAATAAAATATCTTTGCGCCAGTGTGCATAATTATGCAAAATAATTTAATTTGCATATGAGTAAGATGACAAAGAATTTGGTTTTCCATGGTGTCACTTGAAATATATCATGTTAATATGTTGTTTACAGCTAGTGTTGCACACTAGCTGTTTGAATCAGACATAAGAAGACAAAATGTTTGCAAAGCCAGTACTGCAAAGCCTTTCAGCAACTTTAGTAAACTGTCTGCATTTATTGTCATCCTCTGGAACATTAATCAAAAGCACCAGAGTGCTTGAATTCCTGCTTGTGTATTGTCTTCATTACACAAGAAACACTGCTAAGGCCTTTCTAGTTGTAGTACTGGCTTTACAAACATTTTGTCTTCTTATTTCTGATTCAGACAGCTATTCTGTGCAGTTTTATAACATATAAACTGTGCTCTAAATAACATATAAACATATGATATATTTCAATTAACACC